TTGGCTCAGCAGTTAAGAGCACTTGGTACATTTGCGAAGGACCTAGGTTTAGTTCCCATCACCCATAACTGGAGTTACTCCAGTTCTAGGACCTCCGAGGGCACCAGGGACACATGTGGTACACACATGCATGTAGGCACAACACTCATGCACATAAACTAAATAAATCTAAAAAAATAATACCCAATATATATCTTTGTAGTCTTGTGGGAATGGAACTTCTGAATCCAAAGATATGTAAAACTTAACACAGATATACTACCAATTTCTCTAAATAATTGCACCAATTAATTTCTAGTAGGGAGTTCGAGGCCAGCCTGGGCTACCAAGTTAGTTCCAGGAAAGGCGCAAAGCTACACAGAGAAACCCTGTCTCGAAAAAAAAAAAAAAAACCAAAAAAAAAAAAAAAAAAAAATTTCTAGTAGGTACAAAGCTGTGTATGCCTTTAAACTAAAACCTACACAAATATCAATTTTCTATTTTTTAAAGATTTATTTTTTTATTGTATATATATGAGTCTATTGTGTGCATGTATATCTATCTGTGCACTATACATGTGCCTGGTGTCCTCTGAGGCCAGAAGAAGGGACTGGATCCCTTGGAACTGGAGTTACAGATGTCTATAAGCTGCCATGTGGGTGCTGGGATCAAACCCAGGTTCTCTGAAGAATATCAAATACTCTTAACCTAACTCAGCTAGCTTTCTAGCCCCAAATCTAAAATTTCTTAATCCTTATTAATTAGATAGATCTTAAAAGTTATCCTCTTAGCCAGGAATGGTGGTGCACGCCTTTAATCCCAGCACTCGGGAGACAGAGGCAGGTGGGTCTATGTAAGTTTGAGGCCAGGCTGGTGTACGGAATGAGTTCTGGGACAGCCAGGGCTACACAGAGATCTCAAAAGACAAAACCAAAAACAAGCAACAACAACAAAGTTATCTTTTAATTCTGTAGTTCTTTATGGCCTAAATTGATAGTTATTAGGCATTTGCCTTTTTCTTTCCCATAAAGCCACCTCTGCCCTTCTCTTCTTGCCTATCTTTACTGATTTACAATACTTGCTGTATATTAAAGTTAACTCTTTCACTTTTCTTTATATAACTAAGAAGCAAAGACAAAGAGAACTATATCAAAGCACCAGGCTTTTGGGTTTTATATGTTTTATACATTTCTTCTTCTTATACAATTTCTTGGTTACTCTCTGCAGCATGAGAATAATCTAGTTAAGAGTATCTGCAGGGCCTGACAGCATAAAAGTACTGATGATAGGACCGAGTAGGTGGCCATTCTAATGTATCTACCCCACACCCATGGAACCATATCCTTTAGTTTACATTAGGGAACAGAAGGAATGTTGATCAAAATTCTGTGTATTTAACTATGTGCCTATCACACAGAGGACACAGTAAATATGCATAGAATCAACAAAGCATCCCTCTGAAAGGGAGGCAACTCTTATGGCAATCAAAGAACAGAAGCGGGCTGGAGAGATGGATTAGCAAGAAAAATGTCTGCCACAGAACCACAAGAACTTGAGTTCCAAGTTCAGATCCCTAGCACTCATGTAAAAAGCTGGGTGTGACAGCACATATTGGCACTTATAATCCAAGCAGTGAGGGATGAATGGAGACAAGCAGCTCACTGGCCAACAAGTCTACCCAATTGATAAATTCAGTGAAAGTCCTTGTCTTAAAAAATGTGGAGATACTTTAATGTTGACCTCTGGCCTCTACACATGAACTCATGCCCCACACATACAAAAGAAAAAAGGACAAATGGTTTTGCTCAGGAAAGTCAGATCTAATAAAGATCTATGAATGATAAACAGACAATGGAATTAAAAAAAAAAAAAGCAACAATACCACAGAGTGACTGCATTCTCACAGCAAGGGTTTTATGTTACCCTCAAGTCCTCTACAATATCTTATTGTCAATATTCCACTCTTTAGGTCACATGCATGATGATTAAACAACTCTGAAAAACATTTTTTAAAAATATTTTTCTAGGGGCTGGAGAGATGGCTCAGTGGTTAAGAGCTCTGACTGCTCTTCCAGAGGACCTGGCATGCACATGGGAGCTCACAACAGTCTATGACTCCAGTTCCAGGGAACCTGACACCCTCACACAGACATACATGCAGGCAAGACACCGACACACATAAAATCAAAATAAATAAATTATATATAAAAAAGAACCTGTTTTAAAAAAAGAAATATTTTTCTATTCTTGAGACAAAGCTACAGTAATAGTACTAAAAAAGTATTCCATAACACCAGGACAATCTGATTGAGATACTTGTCACTCAGCTGATGGCCAGGGTCGATGTCACTGCTCTGGACAGCTAAGCTAGTATCCCTTTCTTCCATGCCCACACCATACACATTACTCCCGAAGCAACAGTTAGTTGAAAAGGACAACTTTCCTCAATCTGGTAGGATCATTAAGTATGGTTGCTTCCTTCCTAGAATTCCCAACAAGCTTTCAAGAAGTATTTCAAATAATTCATGATTCTCTGACTCAGCTAATTTTTTTTTTATTATTTTTATTTCCTTTCCTTAAGACATCCAACATAGGACTACAGAGATGGCTTAATGGCTAAGAGCACTGACTGTGTCTTAAAGGACACAGGTTGGTCTCAGCACCCACATCAAGTAACTCAGAACCATCGATAACACTTACTTCTGGCCCCATGAGCACCAGGCATGTACATGGTGCACACACATAACATGCAGGCATATATATACTCATATATATAAAACTTAAAACAAAACAAAAGATACCTAACACTCCCACTACCTTTCCAAATAGAGTTGAATGTGGGTTAATAACTCCTATATACTCCACAAAATAACCAGGGATTTTAACTACAGAAAATGAACAAGAGGCAAAAAATGGAATTAGTGGTGACTTCCTTTTGAGAGACAGGGTGGTCTTCCTAGACACTCCACAGGTGACACATGCCTGTAACTCCAGCACTCAAAAGGCTAAAGTAGGATTCCCTCAAGTTTGAGGCCAGCCAGAGCTACATAGTGAGTTCCAGACTAGCCTAGGCTACTGTGTGGAGAGCCTGTCTCAAAAAAAAAAAAAAAAAAGAAAGAAAGAAAGAAAAAGAGAAAGGGAAAGAGGGAGGGAGAGAGAGAGAGAGAAAAGAGAATGAAAGGTAAACAAACACACAAAAACCTTAAAAGAGGAACAAAAGGGTCATCTTGTACATTTACACCTCCCTTGACAAAAATAGGCAGTTGATAAGATACAGAAACTAAGAAAAAAGCAAATTTTGCTGGGCAGTGGTGGCGCATGGAGGCAGAGGCAGGCGGATCTCTGTGAGTTCAAGGCCAGCCTGGTCTACAAAGTGAGATCCAGAACAGGCTCCAAAAGCTACACAGAGAAACCCTGTCTCGAAAAACCAAAAAAGAAAAAAGCAAATTTTGATTCAAATTACTTATGGTAAATTACATGAACTCAAGATTTTATACCATTTGAATTCCTCTTTTTTTCTTTCTCTCTTCTAGAGACAGAGTTCTCATGTAGCCCAGGCTGGCCTCAAACTTACTATACAGTCAAAGATAACTTTCCACTTCTGTTTCTACCTCTCTGGCACTGTGACTGCAAGCATGTACCACTATGCCCAGTTTTAGGTGGTACACTGAACCTGGGCATCACCGATGCTAGGCAAGCACTCTACCAACTTAGTCTTTAAAAAGAGAGAAAGAGGGGCTGCCTAGATAATCAAGCAGTTAAGAGCACTTGATGCTCTGCAGAAGACCTGAGTTCAATTCCCAGCACACACACCAGGGAAGCTCACAATTACCTGTAACTCCAGCTCCAAGAGATCTGATGCACATCCCCCCATTGGGCTGTGGGCACCAGCACACTAGGACACACACACATAGGCACACATACACTTACTCATAATAAAAACAAATCCTTAATTTAAAAAAAGGTGCAGTTGAAATGAACAAACAAATTCCTTTTAGAAAGTGAGAAGGCAAGCAAGTGGCCAGCTCACACACAGGGGCACGCCCTCTGCAGAATGCCTGTCTACAGAATCAACTACACTGCTCAAATACTAGTCTGAGAAAGTGGTGGGGGGAGTTTGGTGCTCTTTAATTAGATGAAATTTTTTTTTTTTTTTTTTTTTTTTTTTTTGGTTTTTCGAGACAGGGTTTCTCTGTGTAGCTTTGCGCCTTTCCTGGAACTCACTTTGGAGACCAGGCTGGCCTCGAACTCACAGAGATCCGCCTGGCTCTGCCTCCCGAGTGTTGGGATTAAAGGCGTGCGCCACCACCGCCCGGCTTAATTAGATGAAATTTTGTCTAAAATGGAATCTGTACTCTCTTTACTTTTTTGTCAACCCAAGATCACATTTTCCTTCCCATTGTCCACTCAAGACTTTGACAGAGCAGCCTCTCCTGAGAGTTCAGCCCCAGGAACTAAGTAAAGAACCACGCCTTTAAGAAGCAATGGAAAAGAGCTGGAAAGATGCCTCAGCAGCTGCTGAGAAGTTGCACTGCTCTTTCAGAGGACCCGAGTTTAGTTCTCAGTACCCATGATGGATGGCTCACAACCACCTAGCACTCAAGTTCCAGGAGATCTGACACTCTCTGGACTCTCTGGGTACTCACTCACACATGTAAGCATACCCATACACAGGCCCACACATATACACATAATTTAAAAAGCAAATCTACAAAATGTTAAACTAAAAGTATTTTAAACAAATATCGGGCAGTGGTGCACGTCTTTAATCCCAGCACTTGGGAGGCAGAGCCTGGCAGATCTCTGTGAGTTCAAGGCCAGCCTGGTCTACAGAGTGACTTCCAGGAAAGGCGCAAAGCTACACAGAGAAACCCTGTCTCGAAAAACCAAAAAAAAAAAAAAAAGAGGAAAGTATTTTAAACGATGAAAGAATAGAAAACATCATCCTCTCTATTAAAATAATCCAACTTCATCAGGAAATTCAAGAGTAAACATGTTTCAACGTGCAGCCTTCTACTCACAGAGACAAAGGTGAAGCAGAGGCCCGCTCCCCGTGGTGCTAACTGCTCTGTATCAAGGCGAGGTTTTGCTAGCATCACTGACATGAGGGTCGGCAGAGCGGACTGCTCCTCGGAGGCCTCCTTTGCAGCACTGCCGTCTAAACCATACAGGGGCTGCTCTACACGACGCTGGAAGACATTAAGAAAACACACAAAGATGTGAGAAAGATACTCACCGGAATACTGACTACACATGCAACACGTTAGACTGGGTATCATGAGATGTGTGATTCAAACCACAGAACATCTCTGAGAACACAGACCATCACAACATGGTCAACACCTACTCAGATCATGTAAAAGGTATTCCAGTGACTCTAATTTTACATAACTCTGGATGTGCAAACTACTCTGTATTGTTCAGTAAATCACCTTCTTAATACTCTCAATCTTACACAGGAAACACTCTTTCCATCCTATAAGTAAACAAAGAATTAACGTTATCTGCTGCCTGGCTTTATAGACAAGAGTTTATTACACTCTGAATTCTACTCAGTATAATTACATGCAAAAAAATCTAAACCAAATGCAAGCAGAGCAAGCATAGGACAGAAAAGGAGAAACATGCCTCAAGTATGTGTGGTTTATTCCAGAAATGTATGGTTAAACATTACCAAATCTGGGGTGGAGGAGGGGAGAGTGGTGGTGCACACCTTTGATTCCAGCACTGAGGCAGAGGCAGCTTTATGAGTTCAAGGCCAGCCTGTTCTACAGAGTGAGTTCCAAGACAGCCAGGGCTACAGAGAGAAACCCTGTCTTGAAAAGAAAAAAAAATTAGCAAATCTAAAATAACTGATTACAAATTAATGGTAGAAAAAAAATTATGATTCTTCTCTTTGGATCGTAAAATAATTGTCAGGTAATGTTTAAAAAAAAAAAAAAAAAAGCTAGAAGTAGCCAGGCGGTGGTAGCCATGCCTTTAATCCTAGTACTAAGAACTAAACTCGAGTCCTCTGTAAGAGCAGTGCAACTTTCAGCAGCTGCTGAGGCAGAAGCAGGAGAATCTCTGTGAGTTCAAGGCCAGCCTGGTCTACAGAGCGAGTTCCAGGACAGGTACCAAAGCCACACAGAGAAACCCTGTCTTAAAAAACAAAAACAACAATAACAACAAACCAAGTAAATAAAAACAAAAAACAAAAAAACAAAACTAGAAGTATCCCACTTTAATACCTAAATGAGTATTTTCTCAAAAATGACTAAAAATATTACTGAAAGTACTACAGTAGAGACCCCTCATTACAGGTGGGAACAGGTCGGGCAGTGGTGGCGCACGCCTTTAATCCCAGCACTTGGGAGGTAGAGGCAGGTGGATCTCTGTGAGTTCGAGGCCAGCCTGGTCTAGAGTGAGCTCCAGGACAGGTACCAAAACTACACAGAGAAACCCTGTCTTGAAAAACCAAAAAAATTAAAAACCAAAACAAAACAAAAAACCAAAACAAAAACAAAAAAAAAAAAAAAAGAATTAGAAGGTGGGAACAGAAAGGGGTAATACATGTAATACAGAAAATTCAGTCAATGTGATATAAACAGTGGAAGATATTTAAAAGTGTCATTTTGGATGACATAAATATTCACAAAGGAAACCAAACAAATTAGCTAAAAAACTTCAGCAAGAGAGACAAATACAAGATAGGTTAAAAAAAAGAAAAAAGTCGCCGGGCGTTGGTGGCGCACGCCTTTAATCCCAGCACTCGGGAGGCAGAGCCAGGCGGATCTCTGTGAGTTCG